CCCGTCGGCGAGGGCGACTCGGCGCTCCGAGACTCTCGGCCGTCGTTGGCGTTAGCGTTAGCGTAATTGGAGCGCGAGGCGAAAGGCGAGCTGCGCGGCGCGAAAGGCGAGGTCGACGTGGATGTGGATGTGGATGTAGAGGTGAAGGGCGAGGCGACGGGCACGGACATCGTGCGTCTCCTGTGTGATGGTGTCCCTTCGTCTTCCCCTTCCCCGGGCTCCTCCGTCTCCTCCTCCACGTCCGAGACGCGCGGCCGCGAGGGGGAGACGCTGCCCATCCGTGTCGGGGACGCGTTCCGCCCGCCGAAGGAGAAGTTTCCGCTGCCGCCCTCGTCGTCGGACGACGAGATGGGCGAGGAGGCGAGCTGGTTCTGGAGGACTTCCTGTCTGAGCGCGCGCGCGGCGGGGCGGAGGGCGGGGGGTGCGCTGCAGCGAGAGAAGGAGGGTCAGCGTGCGTTCATTTGATAGGATAAGAGCAAAAAGTGGAAGTGGATGACGAAAGAAAAAGCAAGGAAGAGGAGGAGAAAAGAAAAGACAAAGGGGAAGGAGGAAGAGAAGAAGCGCACAGTGGTGGCCGGGGTGAGATGAGCATGTGCAGAAGCAGAGGCGGGAGGTGAGGGATGTAGGAGGTACGAAGGAGAGGGAGGATGAGAATGGAGGAAGCAAACAGGCGATGGGGAGCGGAGAAAGGAGGGACATGGTGATGCGTAGATGCGGAAGAGGACGATCGAGTCCGATCGCATCGAGGGGAGTATTCAATGGAGAATGCAGAGTGAATGGATGAAGGGGGAGGGGCGTGCTGCGCAGATATGAAATATAACAGCAGTGGACGAGGGGGGCGGAAGGGGAGCGGCAGAACGGGGGTATGTACGAGGGGCGAGTGGATTTAGGTGCGTGTGTAGGCAATGATTCGTCGAGGAAATGATCGAGGGAGAAAGAAAGATGTGGTGCTTAGAGACAGAGGGCGGAGAATGGGCGGAGAATGGATAAGACATGGATGCGGGTGAATCGGGGGACAGCAGACAAGGTGGAGGGATGCAGGTGTGGAGGAAGTGGATGCGGGATGAGATGCAGAATGTGGGAGAAGAAGGGAGGTGGAAGATGTACACGAATATAACGCTGTGCGGCAGGATATGCAATGCGCAATAGAAAGGAAAGGAAGGAGGAGGGACGGGGGAAACGAAGGACGCAAGGAAGTTAAACGGATGGTGGGGAAGGCGAGGGGCGCGGGGGTCAAGGCAATGTGGTGGTGGAGATGAGGGACAGGACAACGAAGGTGAGGATGAGCAGGACGGAAGGTAAAGAAAAGATGGAAGAAGAATGGGGAGCGCACAAAGTATCGAAATGGATAAATGGAAGACGGAAACGACACGGAGAGGAGATCGAGTACGATCGCGGGAAGGATGCGGGTGGATAGATGAGTGAGGGATCTCGTACGGTCGTACGGTCGTGCGGAAGGATGATCAGGTAGATCGGATGGGACGAGGGACGAGCATGGACGGCAAGGGCAAGGTATGAAGAGGAAAAGATGCGCATGTGGACGCCGCCAAAGAAAACAAAGAGTGCGTCAACGTCCAAACACACCCGCCCCCGAACAACCCCACCGCCGATGTCGAAGACGAAAGCAAAAGCCCATCGCGCAAAAGAACACAGATCAAAGAAAGAAAGACACTCACCCGCCCAGCTCGCCCTCCCCCTCGCCCATCCCATCCATGCCCATCCGGATGAACGCCCGCCCGCCCACGTTCTTCTGCGCTGCCCACGCGCCCGCCTCGGCGGACACCGTGCGCGCGAGGTGCGCGGCGAGCTGCGCGGGGGTCCAGCGTTTGGGGGAGATGCCTGAGGCAGCGTAACTGCGTTTTCGTTAGCACTTGACGTGTACAGGGAGAAGGGAGGGAAGGGAGCGCTAAGAATGAAAATGTACACACCTAGAGTACGACCCCGCCGCCGCCGCGCTCCTCGCCGCAATACTATTCGCGCTCACACCAGGCGGGACGGGCAGCGCGCGCGGGCCCGAGGGGGCCCCGCTGTACTCCCCATTCGCGGTCTTGTCTTTCCCTTTGGCGGAGGCCGACGGCGACGCGGAGGGCAGGTACATGTCCTCGCTGCTGCTCAGGCTGCGGCTGTACCGGTGCCCCCTGTACTCCGCCCGCCGCCGCTCGCTCTTCTCCCGCGTCTCCTTATCCATCTTGTCCGCCCCTTTCTCCTTATCGCCGTCCCGCCCGTCGCGGAACTCGCCCGACGCAGATGGGGAGGGCGGGACGTAGTGGTGGCGCGTCTGATTGGGCGAGGGCGAGGACAAGGAGTTGGCGCGCGAGAGGAGGGCGGTGGCTGTGGTTGCGATGGGGTAGGGGTGTGCGTTTGGCTTGAGGTCGGCGGCGGAGGGCGGGCGGTGCAGATCCGAGGAGGAGGTCTGCCGGTGGAGGGAGTGCAGCGAAGAAGTCGACGATTTGCGTTGTAGTTCAGGGGTGCTGGCGCTGGTGCTAAATGGAGCGGGAGACTTGGAAGGGGAGCGCGAGCGCGCGCGGGGCATGTCTTCGGTCATTGTGGTTATCGTTGTCGTTGGGGATTTCTGCGAGTACATCAGCTCTAGTTCTTTCTTTATTGGTGACCTACGGCTGCGGTTGCGTACCTGGAGATTTTACGGGTGCTTCAGCAAACACGTTAGGGGCTTGAATACTTCAAACTAATCCAAAGGTCGAGACTATGCACTCGGATGAGACGGCTAAGATTTCCATTGTTGCGGTAGGCGTACCGTTGCAGACCAATCGCAAACTCCTCCCTACTTTCTTCTTTGCTTGAGACCACCGAGTTTTTTTACACGGCACAGACAAAGGCCCGTATATCCAAGGCCGATATCGATATGCAAGGCCTGGCCTGCTGGTGTGAGGTTCCGTTCTTTGATGTCACCAAGCTTTTGTTTGTGGACCACAGTCCAATCTAAACCTCCAGAACCTCCGGTACTGGCAGAGAACAGTCCCGTGCGATTCAACCTGGCCCAAGAGGGAGACACGGAGTAGGAGCACTAGCAAGAACGACTGAGCGTCTGAGAACGACTTGGACTGAAAGGAGAAGCGCAGCCGGAACGGACCGGCATCAACCGCATCATGTGAGCGGCGCATCTTTCTCACGGTTGCCAATGCCGTGTTCAATTTCGAATGTGTTGAGTTTGGGTGTTGCGGTGAGAAAGAGGGATATTGGGGGAGAGATGAACAGGAGGAAGCCCTGGTGGATCAATGCAAATCATCTTCTAAATGTAGTGGTGGAACCCATCTAGCAACATTTTAGAGGCAGGTGGAGGTTCGAATCCTCCCTAGGGCATCTTGCTTCTGCTTCTTTAATAACGTCTACCTTTTTTCTTTTATTGTGATTGCTCTATCCTTTCCATTCCCTCACCAGTCGGCCATAAGTCCAGGATCCGAATAGGTGCAATGAAGCCCTGGTAGATCAATGTAGATCATCCCTAATTCATGACGCGATCAATATCACATGTGTCTAGGGCAGACGGAGGTTCGAATCCTCCTCAGGGTGTAAATGGCTCGGAGGGAGATTTTTTTGGGTACGTTACTCCAGCTCGGCAATCCATTGAGAGCTCAGATAAGAGTTATAAAGCCCTGGTGGATCAAGGTAGATCATCCCTCATTCTTAATTCTGTTCTACAAAAGTCTAGGGAAGACGGAGGTTCGAATCCTCCCTAGGGCATTCAATTTGAATGCTTTGCCTTTTTGGTTTCCATCTTTCCATTCCCTCACACTCTCGAAAGTCGGCCATTAGTCCAGAATCCGAATAGGTTCAGTAAAGCCCTGGTAGATCAATGTAGCTCATCCCTAATTCATGACGCGATCAATATCCCATGTGTCTAGGGCAGACGGAGGTTCGAATCCTCCCCAGGGCATTCCATTTGAATGCTTTGCCTTTTTGGTTTAATTGCTTTTGGTTTCCATCGTTCCATTCCCCATCCTCTCGACAGTCGGTCATAAGTCCAGAATCCGAATAGCTGTAATAAAGCCCGAGTGGATCAATGTAGATCATTCCTAGTTCTTGAGACTGGCTGTCTGGCCGCCATAAGACTCTGGGGGAAGATGGAGGTTCGAACCCTCACGGCGTAGAAAAGGTTTCTTTGTTTTTCTTTTTCTTTTTTTTTCTCTTTTTTTTTCTTTTTTGAGGGGGGGAGTGTTAATGAACCCACTCCAACTCGGTGATACATCCAGAGCTCCGATGAGAGTTGGAACGCCCTGGTGGATCAAGGTAGATCACCCTCAACTTGTCCCATTGGAATTTTCCGCAATTTTAGAGGAAGGCGGAGGTTCGAATCCTCCCTAGGGCATTATCGTTCTGGGATTTCATTTTATTTTGGTTTCCTCACCTTTCCTCACCTCTCGACAGCCGGCCCCAGGTTAAGGATTCGAATGGTGTAATGAAGCTCTGGCGGATCTAAGTATATCATCCCTAATTCTTGATGCTGCCCCAAATGTGTCTAGGGAAGACAGAGGTTCGAATCCTCCTTAGGGTGTACAATGGCTGTTCACATCCCGCTCTTTTTTTTAGGTGAGTTACTACACCCCCCAATTCGATGATACATTGAGAGTTCGGATAAGAGTTATAAAGCCCGAGTAGATCAAAGTAGATCACCCTCAAATTGTGCGCTGTCATTAGCAAGATTTTAGAGGCAGGTGGAGGTTCAAATCCTCCCTGGGGCATTATTTCTCTGACCTTCCCTTTTTTGATTATTTTTCCTTTACATTCCCTCACCCTCTCGAAAGTCAGTCGTAAGTCCAGAATCCGAATAGGTGTAATGAAGCCCCGGTGGATCAATGTAGATTGTCCCTCATTCTTTGGTGAGATTTGTTATAGCCATAAAAGTCTAGGGAAGATGGAGGTTCGAATCCTCCCTAGGGCATTATTTCTCTAGTTTTCCCTTTTTTGATTATTTTTCCTTTACATTCCCTCACACTCTCGGAAGTCGGCCATAAATCCAGAATCTGAATAGGTGCAATGAAGCCCTGGTGGATCAATGTAGATCATCCCTGATTCTTGACGCCATTCCACAGAAGTTTAGGGAAGATGGAGGTTCAAATCCTCCTCAGGGCGTAACTTGTGATGCCAATTGGTTTTTTGTGCGGTACTGCACCCATTTAAATCGGCACCATTGAGAGCTCGAATGAGAGCTAGAAAGCCCTGGTAGATCAAGGTAGATAACCCTCAAATTGTGTGCAGTCTTTAGCCAGATTTTAGAGGAAGGTGGAGGTTCGAATCCTCCCTAGGGCATTATTTCTCTGACCTTCCCTTTTTTGATTATTTTTCCTTTACATTCCCTCACCCTCTTGATAGTCGGTCATAAGTCCAGAATCCAAATAAGTGCAATAAAGCCCTGGTGGATCAACGTAGATCGTCCCTCATTCTTGGTGACATTTGTTCTAGCCATAAAAGTCTAGGGAAGACGGAGGTTCGAATCCTCCCTAGGGCATTCCAATCGAATGCTTTGCCTTTTTTGTTTAATTGCTTTTGGTTTCCATCTTTCCATTCCCTCACACTCTCGGAAGTCGGCCATAAATTCAGAATCTGAATCGGTGTAATGGAGCCCTGGTGGATCAATGTAGATCATCCCTAGTTCTTGAGACTGGCCGTCTGGCCGCCATAAGACTCTGGGGGATGATGGAGGTTCGAACCCTCACGGCGTAGAAAAGGTTTCTCTGTTTTTCTTTTTCTTTTTCTTTTTTTTTGAGGGGGGAGTGTTAATGAACCCACTCCAACTCGGTGATACATCAAGAGTTCAGATGAGAGTTGGAAAGCCCTGGTGGATCAAGGTAGGTCACCCTCGATTGTGCCCTGGCAGCGAAGTTTAGAGAAAGGTGGAGGTTCGAATCCTTCCTAGGGTGTTATTTCTGACTATCTGTGTGTTTTTGTTAAAAAACTTTATTTTGGTTCCCTCTCCCTCTCAAAAGTCAGTCGTAAGTCCAGAATCCGAATAGGTGCAATGAAGCCCTGGTGGATCAACGTAGATCAGCCCTAATTCTTGCGGGTGATCAAGGATTTTAGAATCCTCCTCAGGGCGTGGCCTGTTAGTACTTTTCTTTTTTGGTGTGTACTGAACCCACACCAACTCGGTGATACATCGAGAGCTTAAATCAGAGTTAGAAAGCCCTGGTGGATCAGATTCAAGGGAGATCACCCCAAAGTATGCGCTGTTTGTTCCCGCATTTTAGAGGAATATGGAGGTTCGAATCCTCCCTAGGCATTATCTCTCTGGCAGTGTCCTTTTTTTTTTTTTTTTTTGGTTTTTCATCCTTTTCATTCCCTCACCTCTCGAGAGTCAGTCATAGGTCCAGAATCCGAACAGGTGCAGTAAAGCTCTGGTGGATCAAGGTAGATCATCCCTCATTCTTGATCCCCATTCAGAAAAGTCTAGGAAAGACAGAGGTTCGAATCCTCCTCTGGGCATAGGTGGTGGTAGCTGATATTTTTTACCCCATTTTTTTTGTTTGTGCTTTCACTCGGTAGATTGTCCCAAATTCATGGCGTTGTTGCAACTGACATGTGTCTGGGCCTCGAATCCATCTCAGGGCGTAAGTAGTTCTGTCTATTGTTTTTTTTGGTGCCACTCACAACTCGGTGATAAGACCTCCGAGACTTATAAAGCCCTGGTGGATCAAGGTGGATCTACCCCCAAATGTTACATGTTTTGTGTAATTTTAAAGATGGTGGTTCAAATATTAATGCCTCCTTCCTCCGTCCCAGACCCCAACCCGGGATCCGAATAGGTGGTGGATAAATGTAGGTCGCCCCCAGATTGACTGTATATTGTCGACTCGGGTACCAAAATTTCAGTATAACAAAGCGAGGTATGAGCTCAAAAATTGTTGCATCGTCTGTTTATAAGAGACTACAATTTTAGAGGAAAGTGAGGTTTGAATCCTCCCTAGAGTATTACATTCTGATGGGATCCCTTTTTAAATTTTAGTCTGCTTTCTTCTTTCTTTAAATTCCCTCACCCTCTCAAAAGTCATATAAATCCAGAATCCGAAATAATTACATTGAAGCCTGGATCAATGTAGATCATCCCTAATTCTTGATGCTGCCATAAAAGTCTAGGGAAGATGGAGGTTCGAATCCTCCTCAGCACGTAGATGCTTTCGGACGGATTTGTCTTTTTTTGAGGTGTGTTGCTGAGCCCACACTAACTCGGTGATACATCAAGAGCTCGAATGAGAGTTAGAAAGCCCTGGTCGCTCAAAGTATATCACCCTCAAATTGTGATCGATAAGTACACCATTTTAGAGGAAAATGGAGGTTCGAATCCTCCTAGGGCATCAGATGCTCATGTCCTTTTTTGTATTATTGTGGTTGCTATTCTTTTCATTCCCCATCCTCTCGAAAGTTGGCCCTGACTCCAGAAGCCGAATAGGTGCAATAAAGCCCTGGTGGATCAATGTAAATCATCCCTAATTCTTGATGCTCCCCCAAATGTGTCTAGGGAAAATGGAGGTTCGAATCCTCCTTAGGGCATTATCCTTGCTGCAAGTTATGTTTTTTTTTGTACGTTACTCCAACTCGGTGATAAATCGCGAGTTCGGATGGAAGTTAAAAAGCCCTTTTTGTCATGTCTGCCCATTTGTTATGTTGGCAATAAAACCAAAGTGCACACGAGAGTAAGGAAGCCCTGGTGGATCAATGTAGACTATTCCTTGTCTTTCGGAGTCAAGTTGAAATCGAAGACGAGGTTCAAATCCTCCGTGGGGCGTGGTTGCACACGGAGTTATTTTCCCCCCATACCTTCTCCAAAGTCAAACTACATTTGAAGCAAATGAAAGTTAGAAAGCCCTAGTGGATCGAGGCAGATCATCCCTCCTTAATCATTGGGAAGACCTGGTTAAAGGGAAGATGGAGGTTCAAATCCTCCCCAGGTTGTGAAATCTCCAGGCATCTATTCCTCCCCCCCCCCCTCCCCCCCCCCCCCCATCTTGGAGTCATTAAAATATGTATTCAGGTCACCCCTTGGCTGTAATTGCAGATTGAGTGAATACCTATAGCTGTTTTATAAATGCTGTTATACAGTACTTTTTTGTCATCGAGTTAAATCATCCTTTATTCGTGATGTCATGAATCAATTGCATGAACGGGAAGATGGAGATTCGAATCCTCCATAAGGCATTGCTCAATGGTGTCTGGATTTTATTTAATCCATTGCGCAGTTGCAAGACTTGCTCTAAACTAGCAACCAGAATCACTACATTTTGATGGCGCTCGGCCAATTTGGTCCGAGGTCGCCGAGGGCCGAGGGCTCGACCGGGTTGGTCGAGCCCCTCGGCCAACCCCTCGACCAACCCGGTCGAGCCCTCGCCACCTCGGCCAACCTCAGCCGACCTCGGACCAAATTGGCCGAGGGGCCATCAAAATGTAGTGAATTAGAACAAGAAAACCCGGCTCATGGTATCATCGATGACATCTTCACAAGATGTAAAAGAGGATTTATGGGAAATGGAGGATTGAATCCTCTTTTCAATCTCATCATTTCTTTCTGTCTCTCCAAAGTGCACGAATACATGAGGGTTGAAATACCGATGCAAAAGCCCCTATTGATCAATGGAGCTCACCCTCCAATTGCGACGATGACAGTTGAAGAGGTTCGAAACCTGCCCTGGGCATACTTTTCTGATATGGTGTCTTTTTTCTGGCCTAAACGTGGGAAGTAAAATCGAGTTCCAGATCTATCTGAGTATATGAGCCCTGGTGAATCATTCCTATTTCATGACTTCAAGGTTCCAGGGGAAGATAGTGATTCAAATATCTTGGGGCATTGAGCCTAGTCCTTTTTTTCTTTGTCTTGTCCACTCGAATATTAAATATATCGAGCCGACATTGGAGTGTGAAAGCCCTGGTGGACCCGTCCCGCTACATTGATTCTTGCTAACGACAGACCGTATCGGAATGGACAGGGAAGACGGAGGTCAACTGCCCCGTCAGACATTTATCATTTACTCATTTATTCATTGGGGCTCCCGAGTAGAGTCTTTCGGATGGGACCAATCAACTCAATGGAGTTTACATTTTTCTGTACCATGTACTCATCTTTACGGTTGGAATTGCCAAGCTTCTGTAGTAGATGGCCTCGCATGCCGACCTTACATTGCGAAGTTCCCATGTACAAGACCCGTTATTAATAGTATGCAGGAAAGATCTAATATTCCTGCTCCCAGAGCAGAAGCTACACACAAACACTACCGGCCCTGTGGCTGTCCTTCCTGATCACCACCTATGCCCTGCGTCGATGTGTCGGAGTCTAACGCAAACACCACCGTCTCGTACGCACCGGGTCGCACCGGGCGTCGTGGGCCGTGCGAGCCGGTGCTGAGGTGGAAGCGATGCTGGTACTGGTGCTGCGGGTCTGCAGCGTTTCGTGCCCGCGGTGGGCTGGGCGGCGTGGGGGGACGCGGTGGCGCCGGCGGGTGCCGGTGCTGGATAAATTGGAGCGGGGGGTTCCGCGCGTCGTAGGTGCGTAGGGTCTCCGATGGGCGGTATGGCCGATGGGAGTCTGTGGACGGAAGCGCCGGCGGCGGGGGCATATGTTCGCGCGACGGGTGGCGCTCTCGGTCCGCGTTGTGTATACGAGGAAGTGGTGGAGGGGTACCTGGGGATGAAGGACGCACGCGACGATGAAGAGGGGGTGAGGAGCTGCCTGGGGACTGAGTCAACGAGTTAGCTGTGGATTCCAACATTATGAACGCCACGAACCCGTTGCCGGAACCCCATTCCTGGTTCTCCTCCTAGCCCCGACCCTCGCCGCCTTTTATACGGCGGCGATCTGTCAGACTGCTCATCTACATGCCATCGCTCGTCCTCGATACCGGAAGGACTCCGTAACGGGGAAGAGGGACGACGACGGGGCGTAACCAATGGCAATGGGCGGATATAGTCCTGACTCCGCGGAGAGTGCGAGGATGCAGATGAAGAGTCATGGTGAAGATGTGAATTAGACGTAGAACGATGTCCGGGCCCGCTGGACGAAATGAATTCCCTCAACGGGATGTCGCGCCGGCGGGCGGGGGGTGATTCGCTCGGAAGCACCAGACGCCCGTCGATATCATCCATGAGGCGCGAGAAGGCCGCTCGGGAGTCAGCAGCCTGGTTTTGCATGGCGGTAAGATATCTCTCGACCTGTAGCCAGTTCCTTTCAACGAAACGGCTCCGCGTCTCGGCCTCTTCGAGCGCAGCTTCGGCGCGGGCAAGGCGTTCCTGGAATATACGGATTTGGTGATCTGGAGATTTTA